AGAGAGAGAGGGAGAGAGAGAGAGAGAGAGAGAGGGAAGAGAGAGAGAGAGAGAGAGAGAGAGAGAGAGAGAGAGAGAGAGAGGTTCGTTAGGAAGCTCTACAGGAGCGTGGTAGTCGCGAACTGAAGAAGGGAGCGAATGAGAGACAGCTGACAGCTCGAGAGGAAACGAATGGAAGTAGTGGAGAGTAAAAAAAAAGGAGATGGAAAAAGGCAATGGGCAATGTCCAACGGGGCAGCTCTTGAACTTGTAATGACGTAGAGAAGATTAGCATGACCCTGTGCAACAAGGATGACATGCAGAAGCTAGAAATGAAGAGAGCAGGGAGTTGGGGACTTGTGGGCGAGGAGCAATGGAGCGCGCGCTTCGACAAAAGGGCCAAAGAGGGTCATGGGCAGCAGCAGACAGAGAGGGATCATGGTAGAAAGTCCTCGCGGAGTTGTGGGGGATGAGTGCGAAACGTAGCAGCGCTGGTTTCACTGCATGCTATTCTGGGGTAACTTGTTATGGTATGAATTTGGTCGACTGTTGGGACCAGATGCTTGGCGCATGAGCACCGAATAGCATATGCAGTCTATCCAGGCCACAAGTCGAAAAGGAGATAGTGATGGGAAAGAAGAAGGGAGGGGGCAAAACACAAAGCGCGGCGAAAAGAGTCGTCTTGTTTGCCCCCGTGACCTCTGCATAAATTTCGGCTTTTGGCTGGCACAGCACGTACCTTTGCACTGAGACGTACAAACGAACGAGCAGAAAGCAAAGAAGACAAGATGAGGAGGAGGAGGTGGGAGGCGGGGGCACCAAAGGAGATGATGAAAGCAAAGATGGCGATGATCATGTGATGTTTATCCGCGTCACACACAAATGGAAAGTCCTCTGCTTAGTGCCCCCGAGCAATTGACTAGCTTTGTGCGATGATGAAATTGCATTGCCCACATCCGTTTTACCCTCTGTTCCTCATGAATAGGACTTGCTGGATTTGTGTTTCTCTGATAAGACTGCTAAGAAGGTTCCGCTTTCATCCACTTTTCTCTCCCCTTTCCCTCTCCGTCCCCTCTCCCTCCCCTCGCCCTCCCTTTCCCCTTACCTCCCCTTCTTTTTTCGGTCGGGATTGATTGATTGATTGATTGACTGATTAATTGATTGATTGATTGATTGATTGATTGATTGATTGATTGATTGATTGATTGATGTCACAGTCATTGCACTCCAGATGCTCTCTCTCTCTCTCTCACGAGTCGGTGTTCGTGGAGTGCCATGTGGAAGGCACGCGAATCTGGACGTGTTCGTGGAGAGGTGCAGAAAAATGCGAATTCATCTACTTTTCTGGGTCGCTGCACAAAACACATTCCAGATTCGTACGCTTGGTCCAACCTCTTTGCGGGTGAAAAGGGAAAACTGGCGTGGAAGGGTGGAAAACGGATGATGACGGTGAAGGGAAGGGTGGAAAGAGGGAGAGGATGTCACGAAAGGGGAGGGGGGAAGGCGACGACAGTGACGATGACAACGACAACGACAACAACGGTGACTGTGACTAGGCAGGCCATGGAGGAAGAGGATGACGGACGAGGATGATGGACGACCAGCGGGGAGGAGGAGGATGGAGGAGAAGGAGGCAGGACGACGATGATGATGGAGCGAAGAGGATGGAGAATGGAGGTCGAGGAAGGGGTAAGAGGGAAGAGGGACGACGACGATGCATGGAGAAGGGAGAATGGAGGGAGGAGGACGGAACCAGCTCTGAGTGTGTGTGTGTGTGTGTGTGTGTGTGTGAGAGAGAGAGAGAGAGAGAGAGAGAGAGAGAGAGAGAGAGAGAGAGAGAGAGAGAGAGAGAG